ATATTTTAAGATGAGGTAAAATTACTAAATTGTCTATACTACTTAAGGAAAAATAATATCCGGCAATATAACTTGATTTAAAGGCAATTAAATAACCAATTTCAAGTCAAACTGGGTTTTGCCCAAAAACAGCTTGAGTGGATTGAGTTAGGATCGAAATCGAGTTGTGGCTCATTATATTCAATTTCAAGCCAACTCGGCTTGAAATTAAATTGAGCTCTATTTAACTCAAAATCTAAACTAGTGGACTCAAATTTGACTTATTTGTATTGTTCCAGCTCAAAATCAAAATAATATGGCTTAAATTGAGTTATTTGGATCCCTCGCAGCTCAAAATCGGCTCGTTGCACGTTACATCTGATTCAATTTAGCAGTACATATAATTTTTAAAAAAAAATAATAATTTAAGCAGATCTAGAGACAATTTGAGCTGATCCGTGTATGGCTCAAAACAAGCGCGAAAAAATTCTGATTCAAAGTTTTGGCTCATGGCTTAGTGTGTTTATTTCAATTCAATCCAAATCTGAGCTATATCCAAATCAATTTTCGAGCTATTACTAAACCTTCAAGCTAAATTCACAGCCCTATATGATTCCGACCCAAGAAGTGCATCTATTTATGCTAAAGCAGTTAATAAAAGCATGCATATATGGCAATGAAGAAAATTGAGCTAAAAATGAGCTCAGCAGAGAAGAATTTCCCACGTCAATTTTGCTCATAGTTAATGGCTTGATTTTAAATAGAATGATTTAAAGAAAAGAGCAACATAGTGGAGATGTACTTCTTTTAAGTGGGAAGCACACATGAAGAGCATTTTCTTTGAGTTTGGTATGTTATGGTATATGCCAATGTGGTGAAATGAGTGGGAGTGATGAGGTGGGAAGCAAATTAATAAAGTTGTCAGAGGGGGGAATTATAAAAAGTCTTAGGGCAGTGTATTGCTGCCAAATTTCTTATAAGGATATAAATTTCACTTGTGTAATATAATATAAATTTTAATTGATTTGTTCTTTTTTGTTTACATATCTAATACCTATATATATATATATCACCTTGTGCCGCCAGCCAAGCCTGTTGGAAGAGCAGCCTCTTTCAAGGGTTCGAATCCACATCTGGCCTCCAAAGAAAAAATTACATGCATACTACTTAATTCCTATGTATTTCAATATCTAACATCTAAGCTTTCATTTTTACATATATATATATATATATATATCACCTTGGTGTCATAACTTATGCATAAAAATATATATTTCACTTTTTAAGAGATACTGATGTTGGTATTTTCAATATGATGTTTAAAATTTGAGCGGTATGAATGCAAATATAAATTTTTAGGTGTTAGATATGTGTTATGCATGTAAAAGTCACATTTTGTTAAGAATATCATGATAGACATTTTTTTGAAATTTTGCATGAATTTAATGACAAATTCAAGCACACTTATGAATATAATTATTCTGAACTCCTGACTTCTATAATGGAAGCAGAAGCTATGAGTTAAGTGATGCAAATAATTTGAGACTTTGAGTGAGTTTAATTGCAAATTCATCCAAAGCTGGAAAATCATGACAAATGGTGAAAGCTGAAGCTCCCATTCATTAGGGTTAAGATGGTTTGTAATATATATTTTTTTCCATATTATATTATATTATATGGCCAAAGTTAGTCCCACACTGGGTAGGGAGAAGATGGAGTACATATTGGACACGTCTTATAAAGTATGAAAGATGATTATTTCAATGAATGGTATTTCAATAATAATTGGAAGTGTGGAATAACTTAGCATTTGCCTATGCAAGCTATGGCTAGTTGTTAGCTTTGATGAGTGGATGAGTTGTAGTAGTATATAGTGTTGAATGCACACTCAAAATAAAAGAGAAATCAATAGTTGAATTTTGATTGCACAATCATGATTTTGTTTTTCTTTTTTGACCCCAAAGTTGTACTAGAGAGAACTTTTATGTAAACATTTTATTGAAAAGTGTAATTAAGTGATAAGTTAGCATAGATTTGATACATTTATGGAGAGATGGCTCTATCAAGAGTAGAATATATTTCTAAATAGGAGTTTATAATGCTTTAAAATATCTTTATATTAAAATCTCATTGCTAAAAAGTAATATGGGATTTGTTAAAAGCTATTAGAGGTTTTCCAAAAGAGTTGAGATTAAATATTTATTTGAAATAAATTTATGGTTCTCTAAAAAGGATTTTGTGTTATACATGAGTGAATGGCACATTCACTTGCCCCCACATACGTTGGACACATCATCTACTTGTCCAACATATATATATATATATATATATATATATATACATATAATTAACATGCATTTGTGATAGAAACATATGTCTTCATTGGCAATTTTTAAATTTAAATGTAATTTACATAAATAAAGTAAGTCAAATTTCACTATTTTATTTTAAAGTGTATTGCTTTATTAAATTAAACGTTACTTAATGCTAATTTTATTTTTCTTACTCTATTTTATTTTCTTATTTTTTATAATATTTATTTTCTTCTTACTGTATGACCAAAAAATGGTAGCATGATCAACAAAAACAGAGTAGCTCTCTGCCCATCCACCGGTAGAAGATGATCAAGCGAATGAATCTAAAAGTAGACCATATATTAGAACCAGAAGTATACTCTAATTGGCTAGACTATAGTGTGTTTTAGGTTAAAATATATTGCTCATGTTGTTATCTTTTCAAAATATAGGGTATAAGTAAAAAAGACGGTAAGATATTTACTAAGAAGATACTTTTAAATTAGAAGAAGACATATAGATTTGATCTTAATGTTAGTTATTCTAAAAGTGCTAGACATTCATGTTAGCGATCTTAGGGTTTGTTTGGCGCAGCTGCAACTGTTTGGAAAAACAATGATTGTGCTACCGCAAAAGAAGCTAATGTTCAAAAAACCTGCAGTGACTCTCATAAGGAAAACAATGATTGTGCTACCGCAAAAGAAGCTAATGTTCAAAAACCTGCAGTGACTCTCATAATTTTTTTTTTTGAGAAAGTCAAACCACAGTTTTCTAGTAGCTACTGAACTTGGTCAGGTTCGATGATAAAAAGTAGATTTCAACAGCAATATTTTGAAAAACCTGACAGAAAGAATAAATTGTGGTGTGGCACGGTACCGCCACCCTAAACACACTCTTAATAGGGCTCATAATAATGCACAATGAAATTATGAAAACTTGGTGAATCAAACTCAAAAATATTAATTTTATTTTTAAAAATTCATACGATCAACTATAATTGAATATCACATTCATCTAAATATTGCAGTTGATTGCATAAGATTTCCTTAAAGATTATAATTAACATTTTGCTGGCATAATGTGTTAAATAAGTCTAAAAATCATAGAATTTTTTTAACTTTTGTAATTTTTAGTTGAACATAATATGAATATTTTTAATGTAGTGCCGAAAAAATTCAAAATTTTTAAACTTAACATGTTTTAGGATTCCAAAAATATATTTTTAAATCTATATTCATTCTAATAATATGTTTCATTATTAAAAAAATTTGGAGATAATTTATTTTTAATTTTATTTGATGAATTTGATAATAAAATTCTAAAAGAATAAATTATTATTATGTTTCATCATATGAATAAGAGATGTCAAATTATTGAGTGATTTTCTTACATTGCACATGTCTTCGACACGTCTAGTAGTTCTCTTACATCAATACTCGAATAACTTTTGTTAGCATATAATTTAAGTGTTTCAAGTTCGACTTCATAGTCAAGATTATGATCGAGCTAACAATATAAGAGAAGAATTTAATTGATTGAAGATGTACTTCTTAGGAAAATAAATATGTTTATTACTTTTCATATTAATTGATGCAAAAAATTATATTCAAACTGTCATGTTGTTTGAAATGACTATAAATTTGATGAATCTTATTGATCTCTTCTGTGTGAATATTGTGATCGACTCGTACAAAAGTAATGAGTGAAGACTTTAAAGTATTTAAAAATAAAGAGTTTCTCGCAAAACAATGATTAAGTTAAGAGATTACTTTTAGACGGGGAGGGGATACACGATGAAGTTCATGTTAAGAATTGCTTGTGAGATTAATCATAATAATTTTCTTACAAATTAATATATTAAAAATTATTATGAATGATTATAAAAATTCTAAACAAGGACAAGAGACATGCATGATATTAGAAGCAATCCAAATATTTGAGTTATCTTTTACATTTCATTTGATGAAATTATACATTTAGTTCAAATATAAAAATTGAGAATATAATATATGAGAGGAATAACAAATTTGGAAATTTTATTAAATAAGGATTTTTATTTTGTGCTAAACAAGAAATAAATATTACCTCGTTTAATGATAAATGAGTTGCTCATAACTCCACCACTGTAAATTTGAAGATATAATACATTTACATTATTCTTAAATTAAGATATTCTATAAAAATTAATATGCAACTTCAAGAGCTGAATAATTATTTTACAGAGACAAATATGTATTTTTGTCTATTGCATGTTTAAATCATACTAATTCATTAAGTGCATTTGATAAAGATAGGTTAATGAGAATGCCAAATTTATTTTCAACGTTTACTTTAATGGTTTTAGAGTCTGTATGGGGGCAACATATTTGGTGCGGTGGCATTTGAAAAACGCACTTGAACTGTTTGAGTAAATTGCATTTTGGAAGCTTATGTGTTTTGAAAAGACTGAAAGAAGCGTTTTAACACCACACATATATAGGTGCGGTGACAGCGTCTGACTTTTCCAAATCAATAAAAATTTATAATACCCATCGTGCCTAGCTTATCCGCAGATATTTTTAATCAATTTATCAACAAATTATTCAATCAGCTACAACTTTCTTAAACAGACCCTTTGATGCTTCTTGATGATCAATTAAAAAAATTATTTTTTGTGCATGCTAAATTACGAAATTTCATTGCCAGACAATTTAAAGGATTTAAGAAATTTCATTGCCAGACAAATTTTTAGGATTCATCTTTTGCCCAGATATTTCAGATCCCAATTTGATGGATTGAGAACTTTCTAATACAACCTTTCAGATCCCAAACTGCAATTCATCCATTTTGCTCCAATCTCCGAAATGCAACTTGCCAATGCAGCAGCATCGATTGCTGCGCAAGCACCTGGCCGCGGACTTTGGAACCGAAAATGGAGCAATGAACGGTTTCAATCGATTTTTGACCTTAAGAAGTGGAAGAAACAAGCGAGAGTGGCGTTAGTTGTGAGGATTTCCAGGGATTCAACTGGTGCTGGATCGCTTGTCGGCAATGCTATCGGCGATAGGGATGTCGAGGCGTACACTGATGCAGACGTGAGACCAGGGTTTTGCGTCTATAAGGTGCTTGCCGGCGATGCCGCTCGGTGCGACGGCAACTGAAGCGGGAGTGAACTTTGCCGTGTACTCTGGTGGTGCTTCGGCGGCTACTCTGTGCCTTTTCACCCTTTCTGATTTGAAGAAGGTCAGCTTCTCTGATTCTTTTGATTATTTGTGCATTGATGCTTTTTGGGGGGTTTCATGAGTTCGGTGTAGATTATTGAAAGGAGATCACGATAGCTTTCTATGGTGCAGAATGTCATTACAGAGGAGATTCCGTTTGATGCACTGATCAACAAGACTGGGAGCATTTGGCATATATTTCTGGAAGGCGATTTCATGGATATTGCATATGGTTATAAATTTGATGGGAAGTTCTCTCCAGGAGATGGGCTCTACTTCGATAATTCTCGTGTTGTTTTTGATCCATATGCCAAGGTTCATTCCCTTTGAGATTTTGTTTTTCCAAGATATACTTTCTTTGTTGTGGTCCTTGTTTACTGCTATTCCCTCTTACAAATGTATTTTGCTTGTATACGTTATCTATATTTCTGCTCCTTTATAGGCAATTATAAGCAGAGATGAGTATGGTGTTCTTGGACCAGAGGGAAATTGTTGGCCTCAGATGGCTGGCATGGTACCACTTTCTAGCAGTGAGGTATTTTCCGTTTCTAAACATTTTATATGTTTGTATTCAAATACTGTACACTGATAGATTATCATATCTATTTGACAAAGCTAAGCATGCATAAATTAACAGACATTTTATAAAAGTAAAATAATTGATCAAGGGATTGTTCAAATACTGTGCACTCTGAGAAAATTTAAGATAGCAGATATCCTGACCAAAGCCCTTGATCATTTATAAATTGATAACCTAATTTTCAAGCTAGGAATGATCAACATATATATTCTGAACTTTTGGTGAAGTCGACAATTTTATAAAAATCCTCGTCGTGGCCCATTCTAGATCTTCATCAAGAAATCAGTGTGCTTTAATTAAATAAACCACATGATGATTGTCCATCTCAATAATCTATAATTTCCCGACTTTCTTATTTCTCTCTCTTTAATTTTGTTTTGTCTTTTTCTTAATGAGGACTAGTAATTGGTAACATTTGACACTTAAAATATATCTATGCATCTTTTCTACAGTTTGAACCAAGTAAGTAAATCCTTTTCTCATAATTTTTTGTCTCTATTTTTAACACACTTCTATACTAACATGGGGTTGGGAAACAAAGAAGTCACTGAAATGAAATTTGATCATGATAACAATGATGGATGGCATGCATACACTTTTGGAAGATGAGATAGTTTATGGTTGTGTATGTACAATAGAGAATTGAAATGCACCAATAAAACACAAGGATGGCGTTATTGTGAAAAGATTATGAAGATAAGTAGGTTGACAAAATGGCAATAATGTTATAAGTTATGTAAAAAGGTTGCATAATGGAATTAGTCTTCATTTCATACTCGATAATAAGGAATATGCCATGAGGATTCATAAAACCAACACGAATTAATTGGGATTTGGCTAAATGTGATGATAATAATGAACACCCATGTATAGTTTTCAATATTAAAGATTTTTTTTATTTTAAATTTCACACTAACAAATGAAAATACATAGTGGATTGGCATGAACGGGCAAGTCTATTCTATTAAATCTTTAGATTTTGTTTGTTTTTTATTTTGAAACCATTAAAAAACTCCTTGAAGCTGTTTATATTCAACTAATTTATGATAGCAGTATTTTATTATTATAATTGAAATTTCATCATAAAACATGTGAAAACTTTAAAAACCACAATTTTTTGACGAGGGTAGTCTTAAATCGTAATTTTTTCTTAGTTAGTGGTAGGAGGTGGTGGATGAATCACTTGTTAACTTCTTTTAACATAACACTTTTTTGCTTGATTAATTGAGTTGCATCATGTATTGTAAATGCATTACATGTTGTAATTTGCTGGATTAATTGAGTGATATTGTTTCTTATAAACAATCACATATTGCAATGACAAAGTTCTATTATATATTCTTTGTAGTGGTCATTTTGCACTGAAATAGTATAATCTATATATTGATGTAAATAAATCATTTATTCTTTTGCAATTGTTTAATATAAATGATGATTTGCTACATGCTTCTGACACATGAGAAAACCTTTCTTCTTTATAATTTAATGGAATATGCAATTCTTTTTCTTTGATTTTCAATTAACACTATTTTTAGTTTTAGTTTGACTGGGATGGTGACTTGCCTTTGCGGTATCCTCAAAAGGATCTTATAGTTTATGAAATGCATGTTCGTGGTTACACAAAACATGATTCGAGTAAGGTGGATTTTCCAGGAACTTATATTGGTGCTATAAAAAAGCTAGATTACTTGAAGGTATGTCTTTATCTAATAATTACCATGAATTCTATGTGATGAGATATTAGAAATTGTCATTGGTTTTTTTTCTTTTTCTCCTTAAATAATTAGTAGCATGGTTGTATATTAGGCGTAAATTAACATGCATAACGGAGCACTTTTAGGCTCTCACTTTAGTGTAATAGCTTTATTGTTTACTACCTCTTTAATTCTTTTTTGTACATAAGATTTTCTTTACTTTAGATGCTCAGTTTATTATGCTCAATTTTATCCTTGATAGTGATTGAACAAAGCAGTTGCTAAAGTTGGGAGTAAGTGAATAATTTATTTTTTATTTATGAATATGATGAGCTCCATTTATTTGTTTAATTATTCTAAAAAGGTTCTTTCACTCCTTGTGGGCTCCAAATATTCGACACCCCGACCTCTTTCGAAAAGAATAAGAAAAGTAGAGAGTTTGCCATGACATTCCAGGTCAAATTTTCGGAAAACATACCACCTCCTAGTCTCAAGCACTCAACTCTTAGTTGCAATGGTTAAAGACCAGCATGTGGAGGCCCAGAGAGAGTTCCCTTAGTATTTCAAAGTCTAAGGACACTCATGATGACTTTAATACATTCACGCACACTAATGTCACTATTCGAACAATTTACACACACAAATATCATAATTTGCGTCACCTATATCTGGAAAGGCTTCACAATTAAGCGAAACTTAAATTAATTTCCAAAACAATTGATCACGGACCCAAAAATTGAGAAAATCGAATTTGACACATTTTTTAACCCGATCGTCGATGAAGTTGTCCGAATGACCCCGGATGACGAAATTGACTGTACCAGTGCGTCCGAAACGTTGAATTTACCTAAAAAAGATATTCATTTTGCTAAGGTTCCGAGCACGAATAAATCGCGCGTGAATATATATTTAAATAATATAAAATAATAAAATAAAAGAAAATAATTCTCCCGCGATAGGTCGCACGCTCCCTCCTTCCTAGTCGCGACCCAGGTTCCTCTCCCTTTAGCGATCCTTAGAGATCGAGCTCGATTCCTCCCTCCTCTTTGGTCGGTTCTCCTAGCTCGAGCTCTAGTCGGCCGATCCTCTCCATTCGCGAGCGAGCCGACCTACTCCTGTTCTGTGCAAGCCGCCCGACCTGAATGCTTACGGTTTTCCTTGATTTTTTGTACGTTTCTTACGATTTTCTTTGAGTTTTCGTGAACACCAGTGATTTTCTTCTGGTTTTCCGTGTGTTTCCTACGGTTTTCTTCGAGTTCTCTATATGATATTTTCTCATTTATTCTTTTATATATAAATGCATATTTGCCCCACCTGTTAAATTCTCTACTATACTCGTTTATTTTTACCTGTGAAACTGACCCCATTTGCAGGAGCAGCATACACTTCAAGTACACAGATTTATTTTATACTTACTGTATTTTATAGTTTGTATTGCACATTTTACTGTTTTTTTTACTGTTCTTTATACTGTTTTCCTTTACTGCACTTCCTTATAGCATTTGTTTACTCATGCTTTAAATTAGCTCAAATACCTTCAGGATAGAGAATAATAGTAGGTTTATCTAGGGTGAATCATTATAAAACACTAAACTTGAAACTGTTACTACATGAAGCATGGAGCAAGCCTTTGTGGGCAGCACGACCGGGACACAGCGAACGGAGGATGACGATCTACAATAACCAAACAAGTTCACATCAGCTAAACCCATTCTTAGTTTAAATAACAAGTCATAAGACTTCGAGGTGATCCGCTCAGCGTTACATAAATCATCACCTCATCTTTTAGGCTTTTGCAAAACTTTGTGCAATATAAGTCTTAACACCTTTTAGGATTACGAGATTGTTGTGCGATACGTCTTAAATTCTTCTATCTTCTTAGGTTATTTGCACGATCAGGTATCGTGCGAGTGTAAGCCCTAAATAATAAAATCGGCAATATTAAACATTAATTAAGACATAAAGTACATAAAGTCAAACAATATGATAGATGAGAAGTCATCGAGGTTTTTCTCGTATCCATGATATCTCATTCCTTTCTCTCATTTGACCTCCTGAAAATAATAGTTCCTATTTTGAGCCACTTTTAATTTTCTTACGTTCTACCTTGAAAATTAAACTTTGAAATCTTGAAAACTGAACTACTGATCTTAATTGAGAGTTTTCTTAAGTGATTTCGGTCATTTAAGATGTAATTAACTACAGGAGCTTGATTCTATAAAGAACTAAAAACCTAGGTAAAATAAACCCTATCTAATTCTTATATTAGGTAGAAGAACTTGTCGGCCACATATAAAAAGGTTTCGCAGATCAAACGGATGTCACAAACTCTTTAGTTCAGATGGTTAAACCTACTACAAGTGCTATGCTTATTCTTCAGGATAGTGTATTACTTCAGTATCACACTCAACCGTCTAAACTATCGAATATGTGAGATATATTTGACCTCATTTATTTCAAAATTAAAATATTATTTGTAACATCAAAATCACCTATATATATTAAAACTATTTTCAAATTTAAAATATTTTCAAAATTCCGGCCAACAGTTTCACCCTTATTATGCGAGGACTTTAAGATCTAGATATTAAGTATAGTTTTTGGGAGCAGGAAACAATAATTTTTTCCTCTTTTTTTTCATAGGAAACATTACAAGATAAATAGGGAGAAAGTTGCTAAATTAGGTAAGTCATAAAATCTCCATGCTGAAATTAGGAAGCATAAATTACAATTTACCAACAGTAAGATATTTCAAAAAATATAAAAAACTAATAAGGACAATAGAAAAACATTAAATTTTCTAAAATTTCAACACCACCCCTTCAAGTTGGAGCGTAAACATCTATCATGCCCAACTTACTTACAAATACCTCAAAGCTAGGCCTAAAAAGTTCTTTTATGAATATATTTGTTATTTATCGAGTAGTAGGAATAAGCGACATGCAAATAGCTCCACAATCAATTTTTTTCTTTTGTGAAGTGCCTGTCTAGCTTGACATACTTACCATGATCATTTTGCACTAGATTTTCTGCAATGCTTATGATTGTTTTATTTTCTCTGTACAACTTCATTGGCATGTTTATTTTGATCCGTAACTCTTCCAGGATTCTCTTCAAGCATGACATCCCACATACTTCATTAGCCATAACCCTATATTCTTTCTTCACACTACTCCTCACAATCATATTATATTTCTTACTTCGCCATATAACTAGATTTCCCCAGACATACGTACAATATGCTGAAGTCGATCTCCTATCAATTTGTGGTCCTACCCAATCTACATCAATGCACGCCTCTATGATGCAACTTTTGAGCACAATAACGAACTGGGTTGACCACGAGTGACTCGACCTATCGTCACACACACTCACGCGAAGAAATGTTGAGTCGGACTCAATCGATGGTTCTCAAGACCAAAAATAGTCATGATGGATTGAGGCTATCTTATGGAACCGACAGTCAAGGTCCGAGGATGATCTACCCTTAAAAAACAAGGTCAACAATTAGTATTGTGGATATTACTTACGTAAAAGCTCAACTCAGACTCGACAATATTTCATTTGATCATGTATTTTGTCAATCACATTACATAATGGTAATGTTTAGTCTGGTTATTGATTTACCTGTTATAGCACGGATAGCTATCTGCTTACAAATCATGTTAGTTCTGTTCATGTTATGCATGTATTTATGTACAAGCTTACTTGAACTCTTCAATATTTTTACTGATCATGTATATCTAATGGAATCGGTGCTACTTGTTTAGCATTATTTTTTAATTATGGCATGGCTCATCATTTCTTATGCGGTGTGTTAATTTTCTGCATATCGAATACAATTTTTTAATATTTTTCTTTAAATTCGATTATCATGGGCTTAATATGCAAACCAGTTCATGCTTTATGGATTCATTTGCTTATCAACTCGCCAAAGTTGGCATTTATTCCTTTTGAATTACTGTTTACTAACATGAAATATTCAGGAGCTTGGCATCAACTGCATTGAGCTAATGCCATGCCAGGAATTCAATGAACTTGAATACTTCAAGAGTTCCATGCATGGTGAGAATAGGTACGATTGCCAATCTTTAAAAGTATAACATCCTCTTAAGCATCCAAAACTTGATATCTAATCGACTCAACTTACTGTTTGCTTTGCATGGTATATGGTTAATTTAAACTGAGATGTGGCTCCTCATTTATTTATATAAATCAGTGGCGCAGCAGGGTTGAGTTTAAAAAACCACAAAAGATATAAGACAATGATTTTTGTTTTGAAGTGATCAAAATATGATGAAATACAAGTGAGTCTTCTTATTTATAATAAAAACCAAGGGTAATAACAAATAATTACAAGGTAACAAGAATAGAGATGCTTAGGGAACTTTAAACATCTATAGACGAAATAAAAAAAAAGAAACTAATTATAAGGTGACTAATAACCAGTCATCTATTTCATCAATTCTTTCCACTTAGGAAACTCACCCTTGAATTATGTTACAACCAACGTATTCAAGATCTACATACCGCTATGAATGATAGCTTCAATGATGTTACCCCACACGAGCTAGTGTTTGTTGTCAGTGGACTTACAATTGATGATTATGTTGCATCGATCCTCCTTTAGTATCTCTCTTGTTTGAGCAGGGAGACAATTTTTATAACTAGTGCAATAGGAGAGGGCTTTGAAAACCCAAACAAGATAACAAGAAAGGATAATAATGTTTATTTCAATTGATGAAAATATGATAAAATACACGTGAGTTCTTTTGTTGATTATAGGAGAGGGCTTTGAAAACCCAAACAAGATAACAGGAAAGGATAATAATGTTTATTTCAATTGATGAAAAGATGATAAAATACACGTGAGTTCTTTTGTTGATAATTAGCACCCATCCAACACACTAGAAAACATACAAACTGAGAGTCATGGCATGTGCTAATAGTGAGTAAAAATATATAATATTATAGAAATTAAAGTCTAAAGAAATTATTCTAAGCAATTAATAGAAACTGTTGTTTACAAGACTGATAATTGACCATGTACTGCGTTAATAAGTGAATAACTAATCATTATTAAATAGCATTCAGATCTGGGCTATGAACCATGCCCATCACTTCTATGAGAGTGTGTTCTGGTTTCTATGAGAGTGTGATCTGGGCTATCATGCCCATCACTTCTATGAGAGTGTGTTCTGGTTTAAATTTTTTTGAAGATTTATTGGATATCAATTAAGATGCAGCATTCAGATAAGACACTAAACAAGAAAGTTCGCCCTCATTTTGTTAGGTTTTTATATTTTAGTTCGAGGCTTTCCGTTGGCACAAGTCCTTATTATTAATTGCATCTCTTGCCATGAGAGAGAATACTTGAATATGGCTAGTTGGTAGGTGCTAAGTACTATTTAGTTTGGTGTAGTTGTACGATAGAGGAAATATACTATCATTAGCTTGAAATCTAGTGAGGGGAATGGATTGATTGTTTCTCCTAGCTTTGAGTAGAGGATTTAAGTTGACCATTTTTATATTTTAAAATTTTACATTAAATTCTTGCTTTTTTTATTGGAATCTGGGCCCTGAACAATTTGCTTTGAGCTTTGAGCGTATATTGATAATAAGGTCCCCTCCGGTTGAATTTTGTTGTTAACATGGCCATCCATCATTTGTTTATAAAACTTGGAAGAATTTATCTTAGCAATTTAAGAGCATGATTAAAAAAAAACCCTCCATTTATGATGTGTCTTAGCTATGTCTATCATATAATTGTTTGCTTGATTGGACTTTGTTATATTAAATCTTATCAACTTTATTCGCTTGCTTGTAGAGGATCAGATTCATTGTTTGACTCTACCCTCATATGCAGAGAATTGGATCTTTAGATTGTGATTTGTCGTTTGTATTACAGAGGATGTGGCCTTAAGAGCATGCATTTTGAAATGCTTTTGTTTTTTTTTTGGTTCAATGTTTTGAAGACCTTATGCAAACATAAAACAAACTAACTTTGAGAGATTGAAGATTAAGTATCTAGTTTTCAATCTACAATTATGTTTGTTTATTGATTAAGATCATTGTATAATTATAATTTTGTTGAAATTTACTGCCTTAGCATTTCCAAATAGTATCATTCTTATTGACTAGTCTTTATGAGAGGGATCATACTTAAAAAATGTGAGACTTAAAATCTGCTCTATAGAAAAGATTATCTACTTGAGAACATGCTTAACTTGATAAATTTAAGCTTAAATTTGAAAGGGAGCTTGCGCATTTTTCAAAAAAATAGAACATTTTCTTAGAGAAGTTTCGTAGGAATGATTTTTTTTTTGCCTTATTTTTTGTACGTGCATTATTTTGATCTTAGAGTTAAATGTTGATGCATCAATTAGAGCATATGCATAAATTTAATTTTTGGATATCCAAAGTTTCAAGGGGCAAGCATGTTTTGTAATACTACACTTGTTTAACTTGCAATTTGTTTAGATTTAATTGGCAGTATAGCTATTGATGAACACGTTGTCATTTAAGAGATAATGCAACTTTTCATTTTGAGCTCTATGGATCACATTTTAAAAGCCCCAAAAGGCTAATATATTAAGTAGAAAAAAAGATACAGATACAAAGTGTGGGAGGGCCCAAACATGACACCCTGTCCACTAAAAAATCACAAATGGTTTCAAAACTAGAAAAAACAGAAAAATACATTAGATACTTAAATAAAATACCTAACAGTGTCGAAATACATAGTATCAGGTGGCTAGAGAGCGACCCAATTTGGTCTTGCTTCTGCCTCTAGTTCTAGAAAATGAGCAAGCTAATAAGCTGGTACGATGTTTGTCATTGCCAGAAGTAACCAATGTATCATCCAATATGTTCTCGAGCTGGAGTCTGTCTCCATTCTTCTTCTTCCTCCTGGAATAGACTTGTCATTTCTCTTCCGAAGAATCAGTCTGATGGGGTGGTAGAGCTGAAGCAGAAGGAATACCAACCATAGTACCCACAATAGGTTCTAGTATATGTGAAGTATGAGTTGCTTCTACAACGGATACTTCCTGAAGAAGTGGAGTTGCGAGGCTCTCCTGATTATCAGTCTGAACACTATTATTTGTAGGTAATAGTCTATCAGTATTGTTTTTTATGGGGTTTGAAGGTGCCAACATCACATCATTCACAATAACAGTAACAACAGTGTCATGAGGGGGGTCCTCAGGGGCAACAAACACCACCTGTCTGGTGGTATTCTCCCCAGGTGGAACTAAAATATCCAGAGCTGTGGGGTTAGACCCATATTTACTTGAACTTTAGTTTTCAAATTAGGATAGAGCTTGCAGTATTTATCAAGGATATGACCAAACATCTTACAGTGGGTGCAATATGGGGGTTTGTGTTCCAAGACGATTTGTTGCCAATATCCATTGTGGGTTGTACCCAACCAGACTTCAGTAACATCCGGTAAAATAATATCCATTTTCATAAGTATTTTGGCCACCGAGGGTCTGGTTAGGTTGAAAGTAGACAAATCTAGCTTCAGAGAACCTGATGGTGAAAAAAAATATAGCTTTAGACCAGGTAAACTAAACCATACCGGTATAGTGGAACTTTCATGATTTGGGTCAAAATCAGGAGACCACTTGAGTAACTTCATAGCTTTTCCTGCGATATTAAGATATTTCTTGAAGAAAATTCTGGTGTAGTCTTCAACCATTGTTAGTTGGATCAACACATGTCTCCCATCCATAAGTCCCACTTTCTACTTGCCTACTGGCTTAAGATCATCTACACTATTTCTGATAACCTCCATAGGTCGGCGTCCCCACTGAAATTTTCCAATAAGAACAAACTTGAATTTTTCTGCAGGGTAGAAATTTCTGAGTCAGAGAAAAAAATTATTGCTTTTCCACCTTTTCTACTTCCCTTCTTAACAAAAGGACAATCATTTGTGTCATCGCAACATTCCTTATAGCTTGAGGGGAATACCACCGCGGACTCCACCTAAGGGTTTCCCACCATGTGGGCAAAGGAAGCATTTGCCGGTTCAACCAAAAAAGAAGGAAGTACCATCAGAACAACCAACTGTCATCTACAGCGAGAAGCTTGCGTCGAGCTGGAGAGAAAGACGGGCGCAGAAACAAAGCAGAAGAACGGGCTAGAGAGAAGCACTGGTGCAGACATGAACAAAAGAAGCGTCAAATGAAGGAAAGAGTCGTCGGGCGCGGAAAGCAGAGGCGCAGCGTCGAAATTGGACGCCAACGCTAAAAGACGAACCGCAGAACTTGCAGCTCGACGAGGTCGACGCTCGACACAAAAGCTGGCGCGAGCGAAGCCTTAGAATCCCTACGTCGTTGTCGACGCTCTACTCCTCA